AGAAGTACTTGTCCTTTATGCAAAATTGGTGTCTCATCGGAACAGGATCATGGCGACGAGAGCAGTGGCTGAGGCTGCCACTAGTCCGGCGGCTGTGGCCACTGATGCCAGAATGCCCCTCTCAGCCTGCTTGCCCGGGTGTTACTCACGGTACCTGAACGAACACAACATATACACTGCAGAACAAGTTCAATCTTAGTTTCTGGGAGTTATGCGGTTGTTCGGTTATTGGTTAAATATTTGCACGTTAGGAATTTCCATCAAGGCTTGGATTACATGCGTACCGTGGTTAGTTTGAAATACGTTGTGTTAAAATTGCGATGGTTGCTGCGAAACATTGAAATTACTTGCGTTGCGTGCCGAAAACGTAAAGCGCAAACCGTAACTCTTATTATGGCTGATCTGCCCATTAAAGGGCTGGGTTACAAGCAACCTCCTTTCTCTAATACAGGTGTCGACTACTTTGGGCCGTTCCTAGTTCCAATCCGGAGAAGTACGGAAAAGAGGTGGGGTTTTATGTACACCTGTCTCACCACTAGAGCGGTGCACATTGAGGTGGTCCTCTCGCTCGACACAAGCTCTTGTGTGATGGGCGTGAAGAGGTTTTTTGCACGTCGCGGTACTCCGACTACCATCATGTCCGACAACGGCACGAACTTTGTTGGCGCTCAGAAAGAGCTCTTAGCTTGCGTTGAGAGATAGAACAAAATCGCACCCGCTGTTTTTGTTCAGAAAGGGATCAAGTGGAAATTCAATCCACCCAGCGCACTGCACCATGGTGGCTCCTGGGAGCGATTAGTTCGTAGTGTCAAGCGCGTTTTGTATGACTTCTTAGGCAACAAAAGAGTAACTGAGGAGGTTCTAAGAACCACGTTGTGCCTTGTTAAGCAATCACTCAACGCTAGACCAATAACAGCCCTTAGTTCCGATCCGCTAGATCTAGAGGCGTTGACCCCGAATCATTTTATCCTTGGTCAACACGCAGCGAGTTTTCCGTCGCTAAGTTTCGAAGAAAATTTCGACCATAAGAAGCGGTCCGCCAGAGCGCAATCATACGCTATTGCAATATGGACACGGTGGATGCGGGAATACGTTCCTTCACTCAATAGGAGGGCAAAGTGGCACAACCAGTCAGACGTTAAGTTGAAAGCCGGCGACTTGGTTTGGGTCATAGAGCCTGACACTCCATGCGGACATTATCCACTCGCACGTGTCCTCAGACTGCACTACGGCGAGGACGGATGCGCGAGATCCGCCGACATAAAGACCGTTACGAGCGAACTGACCCACACGACCGTAAAGCTCGCTACCGTTCTTCCTTGTTTAACGGTGGAGGATGTTGCAGCTCAAATATAAAACAAGAGTATAAATGCATTTAAAATAAGCACAGTTGGCCGATTGGCCTAAGCTAACGTACCGACAATTGACGTAGGTTCGATTCCGCCACCTGCCCATGTATTAATATACTAAAAAAGGGGGTTATATCCTATTTTAACTGTTTTTGTTGACTCTGATTCGGTTCAGCCTTGATAAAGGCTGACCGCTAAAAAAGAGCAATTTGTCTCAAGGACATTACCGACCGGTTTTTGTGGCTAGCTTGCGCCAGTTTTTTTTTGAAACGGTGTGAATTGGTGACGAATTTTATTGAAGTTTTGATGTTGTACCCGACCGAAAGGACGAGAAGTTTTTGCCGATAAATTCTGTCGTTAAATTCAAACATTCGACATCATATTTTTGATTTACGGAGATTAGGCGCACAATGGGTATTATAAGACTTTGTGTGACCGAAACTTTTGCGCGACTTTGGTTTGTTGTTTCGGGTTGGCAATTTATGTTTTCAACGACTCGGGCAAAAAATGATATGTTTCGACCGTCTCGACAGGCTCAGTTTTTTTTTACCAACTCGACTCCAGTTGTCTATATTTCGACTATGTTTGACCGAGGAAGAACATTTCGAGCAAGTTCGACCGAGCAAAAACATTTCGACGAAGTTCGTCCGAGGAGTTCTTTCGACCGATAAGAATTTCGACAGCGCAAAAATTTCGATTGTTTTTGACCAAAAAAAACGTTTCTTTTGAGTTCGACTAAAGAATTTTTTTCGACCAAGAAGCCTTTCTATTGACAAAAACTAATTTGGCTGTGTTCAACCGAAGAAAAGGTTTCAACTGAAAATTTTTAGGATTTTGACCGTCAAATAGGTTTGGTACACTAAGAAGTAGGTTTCGTTGGCCTCTTGCGGCATGATGGAATTTCGGTCGCAGAAAGTACCTTTCGGCTACCCATTACGGTCGCAACATGAGTCGCGCACCTCGACCCGGGAAGTACACAAACATTACGAGACCAAACTGTGCACTGAATAAGCGCACAGCGCACAGTTTGGTGTCTGCATGTTCCTGGATTCCAGAGACAAAACATGTTAAAACTTTGTCGCAATGATCAAAGAAAAGGAAAGAACAAAAAAAATGGAGAATCCTCGTTGCAGTATCAATTTACAGTTCACAAAATGCACAGTTTGGCCCCATAATGAAGTGAAATTGAAAGATGAAAAAAAGATGAAATTAAAAATCACAATGATCAATTAAAACGAACCATAATAAACAATTTTTAGGCAAACAAAGTGTAGTGTTTTAGTGATAAAATCTTTCGTCAAAGTTTGTAATCATATTTTGAAAAAAAATAAGTAGAATAAACATGGTATAATTTTTCATGGCATAAATAAATACTCTGCAAATAGCTTGTCTCATCATTTCTTGCCTCTTGTCTCAGAGCTTGTAAATTGAAAAAGATGCTTTTCAACAGTAAGTATTGAAACTAGTTAGATTACTTGAGCTAATTGTTTAGCAAACGGTTACTTTTTGTGCAGTCGACTACAGCCAGTTAAACCTGATTATAACAAAAAAATGTTTGAATGCAATATTTTTTTGGCCCAAAATCGTTTTCATTTTGTGTTCACCAACGCTTTTCAATTTCAAATCCTGCTTTGTCGTTTTTCGGATTCAAGAAAAAATTAATGTTTTGTCTCAATGTGTAATTTCTTTCGTTTTTCAGAACTAATTACACTTAGAACAATATCTTTGAAAAGGCAGAACAATTATTGCGAGGCTAAACTGTCTTTTACGTGAATTTTGGCTAATTTGGCAACAGGTTGAAATTGAACTTGTCACGGAATCCGCTGAACATTGATTTACACCTACAAATAGCCAAAACACTGAATCTTTCAAAATTAAATAAGGCTTAAACACTGTATGCCTCATTACATTATAAGTCACACTTATACGTAGAACACTTACAATTTCCGCAATCCTCGTGCATCATTACATTTTACATTACATTTTTGAGGGAATCTACTAACATCTTGCTGAACGAACCCCTAGCACCATTGTAGTATGTATTCACCCATAAATATCAAATGATTATAAGTATACAAAGTGAAATCAAAATTATGGAAAACTGATGAAACTAAAAAAACAATGTTCAATCAAAATGAAGAATGACAAACAACTTTCTTAGGCTACAAAACGTAGTGGTATGAGTTGTAAATATTTTCTTAGAAAGTTATAGTCAAATTTTAAACAAAAACACGTAGACTAAGCATTGCAATCTTTTTCTCAAGGTATTAGATTCAGGCTTGTTCTTGTGAAGACTTTCATTGGTTTTTGACGAGTGAATTAAACAGCGTGCGAATAAATTTGTATCATCCTTTCTTGCCACTTGCCAAGATACTTTTAACTAGTTGAAACTCTATGAGCTACTGTTTTAGCAACCGGTTACTTTTTCTGAAGTCGTGAACAGTCAGTTAAATCTGATTATAACAAACAAAAATGTTTTTGTTTTTTGTTCACCAACCCTTCTAATGGTGTTTGGAAAAACTAAGCATTAGCTTGCGTTTAATTTCAAATCCCGATTTGTCGTTGTTCGGATTCAAGAAAAAATCAAAGTTTTGTCTCAGTGCGTTATTTCTTTCGTTTCTCAGATCTAATTACACTTAGACCAAAATCATTCAAAAACAGAAGAAACACTGCGAGGCTAAGTTGTGTATTAGGTGAGTTTCGGCCAATTTGGCTACAAGCTGAAATGAAATTTGTCGTGGATTCAGCAAAATGGTTGTTCCTTAATTTTTTTGGCTGTTTTAGTTTCCACAAACAAATAGCTAACACTGTATCGCTCAAAACTGCAAAAAAGCTTAAGTGTTCGCTTCAGTAAACTGTTAATCACTATTCTGTGGAATCCGCTTAAATCTTCCGGAACCCACGTGCATCATAACATTATAGTTTTCCGGAATCTGCTTTCATTTGTCGAATCTTAATATTTTTCGCAGAACGAGTCTACATCTGCTGAAAAACTTGGAATCCGTGACACTACTTATCTGCCGACAAATCTGACGTTACAGGGTAATTGATCGCAGAATCCACAGAAGCTCTGTAGTAGAACCAAATTACATTATCGAACATGTTTTAAACTTCTTTTTGGATTACAATGACCTACAAACACCAAACTATGGGCCTTTCTTGTGCAAAGTCAGCCTCGTAAAAAACAGTTTTCGATAACGCTTTTAATTTTGTTTAAAAAAAATTCGTACACGTTATCATCTAAAATTTTAAACCTAAATTTTTGTGGTCGGAGCAGTCTGTAACTTGCTCACCAATCGGCTATTTTTTTGTCACACAGTGCCTATCAATTGTTTATGGAGTAGGGAAAAATAATGACAAAAACACGTATTGATGCTCAGTGAGGATAGATTTAACCTGAAATGTATGTCATTGATGTGAACACTTTCATTGTATGTCATTAATGCGAACATTAATGATTACTTTTGCTTGATACTTAATATTTCTTTCAAATTTTAAAAGGCCTTCATTTTTTGCAAAAGCGATTGTCTTAAAATTTTATCAACTTTGTATTCTTTGTTTTTCTTGTAGAAATAATCGTTTTTTGCTGTTACTTATTTACTCTAATGATTTCACGCGAGAAGTACTTGTCCTTTATGCAAAATTGGTGTCTCATCGGAACAGGATCATGGCGACGAGAGCAGTGGCTGAGGCTGCCACTAGTCCGGCGGCTGTGGCCACTGATGCCAGAATGCCCCTCTCAGCCTGCTTGCCCGGGTGGTACTCACGGTACCTGAACGAACACAACATATACACTGCAGAACAAGTTCAATCTTACTTTCTGGGAGTTATGATCAAATTATTGGCAAAAACATCAAAAAACCAGGCGTAAGAACTAAGTCAGAAATCCTGATACAGCATTTATCATAAACAGTAACAATTAAGTAGTAAGTTTACATGCAAAAATTCGCACAACTAAAGTTTGAGAAGGGGTAATTTACATGGCCATCGTGTGTTACTTTCGAACTGAGTTGCTGATACAAAAGTGTACCGAGGAACGACTTTTCTGAGTCAGAACAGAAAAACAAACAGAGTTTCCTTTTTTTCCGGGGCAATGCACAGCTTGATAAATTTTGAGCTAAGACTGCGCCAGACCAGTAGACAGAGCAAAACGATGCAAAACTGTGTAATTTTAGAGCTCTAAGCAGATTCCGCAACCAGCGAAAAACAGATTTGTCGCGGAAACTTGGTTCGTATTTTGCTTTGAATTCTACGAACAAAATGCTAAAATACTGTATTGCTCAAAAGTGCTCCAAAAGCAGCCAAAATTCCGGAATTTGCAATAAAACTTGCGGAATCCAGAACAGTTTGTGAATCCAGAAACAAATAAAAACATATCTGGGTTGTAAAGTTACGCTGTCAGCAGTATGTAAAACGGGTTTTGCATTTTGTTTGCAGTATCCAATAACATATTCAGATGAATCTATAAACGAAACAGCTAAATTAAGCATACTTTTTTTTACAATGTTTGTGGGCCACCATCTAATATTTGCAGCATATGAAATTCAATGAGGGCTAAAATTTTCAACAGTTTAATCTCAAATGCTGTCAAGTAAAAACTCATTGATAGAAATCAGCAGCTCTCACCAGCTATAGTTTTTTCAACAGCTGGATCTCGAAAACTTCCAAGGGAAAAACTGTTCGATGAAAACAAGCTAAAAAATTTAAACTATACCCAGGTTGAAGTCCCACCGTTAATTATCGCTTTTTCTGTAGTATCCCAGTGATCGCTTTTTTCCACCGCTGATTCATGTATAATTCAGAGTTTGTTGCATAGATAAACTTGCAATTTTTCAGAGCTATTTCAGTAATGATTCCGTTGAAAGTCAACGCTAAAACTTAAGAACTTTTAACTCGTTCTATTAGCTGTCAAATGAGAATAATAGGTCTTTAACTTTTGTTTATATAAGGATATACATTAGTTTAAATGCGCAGAGGTAGCATACATGTCTTTAAATCCGCAGGTTAGGGAATCGAAACCCTTTTTGAGCACTATTTTTAATCAGAGCTAAGTTTTTTATCGCTGTTTCATTGCTGAAATAAACCAAATTGGCGATATTTATCGATAAAACTTGCGATTGTGGCAACGATCGTTTTTTTCACTTTTTTATCGCTAATTTTCAATTTGAGCTCACCCGGGTAAGTTATAATGCAAATTTATAGATACATTTAGTTTCGATTCAAACTCATTTGTAATATTGTCAAGTTACAACCAAGATTACGTTTTGAAAACGAAATTCGTTTTCTAATCCAAATTTGCATTCAAGTTGGGAGATTAAATTTTAGGGCTTATGTCCAGTATTGTTTCAAACGAAAACCTTATATACTGATGATGCCATAAATTTTTCAAAATTCCCATCCATGTGCTGATGGTGATTTTTCGACAAAATGATTATCAAGACTGATAAAGCAACATAGTTTTCATTGCTGATGTTGATGTAACTAGAAAGTTTTTCCTTTGGTGAGTAATAGTTGTATGCTGATGGTGATCATTCGGTCTTCAGAAAATCAAAAGCGGTTTTCATATCCCAAACACCTATTTTGATTACTTATTTTAAAATGTTGTGGTCCCCAAACGATGAATCCAAAATTAACTTGCTGGGAAAAACATAGCACTTGCTGAGTCATTTGTACTGAAAACTAAGCAATTTTGTTAACTAATTTTTTGTTTTTGCATTCCACTGACAATGATTGAGCTCTTACTATTTATTTGGTAGATAATTTATTTTTGCTTTTAGTTGCTTACACAAGAAATGGTGTGTTTCAGTACAATAAACAAAAGTACGGAATCATTTTACATTTAGGGAATCGGCTTACAAATTTTCGAATTTCGCTTAGACTTGCGGAAACGATTTTTTTTGTGGAGTCCGCTTACACTTGTACACTTGTGGAATCTGAAACAACAAATTAAAAATTAGAGTTATTCGTTCGCGGAATACACTTACACTTTAAATAAACTATAAAAACTTGTTTCTAGATTCCATTCCAGTGACCAACGCACCAATTTCGGCTTTGCCATGAGCTCTGAGCAAAATAAATTATGAACAATATCTTTTTATGTGTTTTTTTGTTCGCAGAATTAGAAAACATGTTCTTCTCTCTAAAAGAACCGAGAATTAGCAAACAGCTTATGGTATTCATGATAATCAATTTTTTCCGCCATACATCAGCTGATTTCAACTTAATTGCGGTAACAACTGGTTGTATAAGGTCTCTAAATTATCCTGTTTGTGAGTTACTGATTTTGTCCCGTAGAGACTAGCTTGGCTGATTGAAAGCCTAAAATCTTTGATAGAGAGCTACGGAAAAAAGCCATCTCAAGGTGAACAGGCAATTCTTGAGCTTATGCGTAGATACGGCAACATAAGCTATGTCAAGTCATCAGCTTTCGTCAGGTAACTGGACAAACTGATTCGACAAAATGATTAAAAATCAACCGCAGGAGTTTGTCAAAGACACTGGGTTCTTGTAGAAACTAGTGCACAACTTCAAACTAAACGACTAAAAGCTGAAATCAACTATTGTCAAATCTCTCTTCAAGAGTTGAACATTGAAGTGTGAAGAATATTGCGTGCTACGCGGCCTCGAAAATTTTAGGCAGTACGTAAAATGTATTCCTGGATAGATATCTTGAGAATATATATGTAATTTTGTCAAAAACCTGTATATAAAGCGGTCATCCTTAAGCCAAACAGAATGGGCGTAATCAATTTACATCTATGCCCAAGCAAAACTACGACAAATTTTCAAGCTGAGCTAAACACAGTGTCAATCACAACATTCCTGATTGATAACAAGGCACAAACGTCGAGAAAAATCCAGTTTTCTCAAAAACTTTGATAGATTAATGCTCTAAAAAAGTCAAAGTGCAAAAACTATGCCTCGATGTCTATGCAAATAAATATATAATTAACGCACATCGGGCAAGATATTTATCAATAGTAGTTGCTGAGGAAAACATCAATCATCTCTACACATAAACCAGAAGATGATTCAGAAGCAAGTTATCTGAATTCAGATGCAAATATGGCCTGAAGTCAATTAACCAGACTATAAGGATTCAATTGACAACATGAGAAAAATCAAAATCTATAATCACTTTTTCCGATTTCCTTTTTCATCAATTGCGTCAAACTGGGATGCTTTGAGATGCTCGACAACGATTGCAGTTGATCATTAATCCTCAGGAATACAGTTGGAAAATTTCAGCGCAAATCAATACCTACATCTTTCAGTAAAGACCAAGTGTCATATTTTTTAGTCGAGCAATGTTTTGGACCACAGAACGCTACAAAACTACAATTCTTCTTCAGTCAGTCTACAGTGTGAAAACTATTGAGTTTTAACACAATCGACAATCGACTTATACAACCCAAAAAGACCATGCTCACCCTATAACAAATTGAAAATTGTCAACTTTCCTGATCCAGCACTGTGCAGTTTTTCTAATGATTAGATGAATTTTGGGATAGTTCTGAGAGCGTTATTAAAAAACAATTTACAGATTTCAAACGTTAGCTACAGATATATCTCAACTTGCATTATTCAATTAGGTAGGTCAACCAATGGTTCGCGTAACCAGAAACCTCATGTGACTGATTGAAATTTGCTTTTGACTCAGTCACCTTTCGCACAACTAATGCAAAGTACGATTTTCTTCATTAAACAATTCATTGAGCAATTTTGAAAGGTAGAAGAATCATGTATAAATAAAAACAACAAAGCTACTGAAATCTCCAATAAAAGCAAAGAAAAACAATTCAACTTTATGGAATAAAACTGTGAGGACAATTGTGATGGCTTCAAAATATATGAAACCTAAAAACAGCAAACAGAAAACGTCTAACAACTATCCGGTATCAAAAACCCAACTGAAATCACTACAGAGACGGCAAAAAACGATAAGATACTTTCGGAGAAATCCTTAATTATTTAAATCCTCAAGTCTGTAACTTTTCAGTAACCAAAAAGTTGGAACCTCCTGCATCACCCGGTAAGCGCTATGTGCAAGCCAATAACGGTATGCAGGGTGGTAATTGCTGCTTTACCGAACAATGGCCTTTCGTTGAAATCTTGACTTGAAACTGGACTAGACTCAACAAAAAATGTATTTGGCCTTCTCCTACAATTTCGGGATTAAACTTGGGCAAATCAAAATGTCCTTTGCTTTTTTGGGCTAAGAAAGTGACATGAAGCAAAACTATTACAGTCGACTCACCTTCGATGCTAAAGCTCACACTCTTTTGCCATCTTAAGTTTTCAACAAGCAGTTTCAACTACAAAAAGATATTTTTCCTAGGACAGGAGTGATTGAACCTTAAGTCAATTGGAACTGATAATTTCCAATGGCAGTTTTCACATTCGAGTCCAATGGCAGTTTTCAAATTCTGAGAATGGCAGTTTTCACATTCGAGTCTGCACTCCAATCAGTCGTGCCAAGTGTAACAAAAGTTTTCAAACCACAAAACATCCCAGCGCCGTTTGTCAATTTGAAATTATTCCAGAAAACCTGTAGATGACTGGTCTTTTTTGGGGCGAGACCGTTCCCAGTAACCTCGATCCATTAATTGCAAAATGGGTCGGTCAGTTAAGGCAAAAAACTTCTACTGTGGGGCTACCGCGCTTACTTGGGCACAACTGTCTTCTAAAAGACTCGATGTCTATGTGTATCAACTTCGGGACTGCGGGTGTATTTTGCATACACGCTTCTGTTTTACATGATTGAACAAAAGC